GCCTGCTGGTGCCCGCCTGTAATCCCAGCACTAGCGAAGCTGAGGCAGGAGGATCATTGTGAGTTCAAGACCAGCCTGGGCTACAAAGTGAGCTCAAGGCCGGCCTGGACGGCATAGGGAGACCCTGTCTCAAAAAAAAAAAAAAAAAATCCCCAAAGACGCTAACCAAACACAAATCCCGAGGAAAGGCTGCACAGGAGCCCACGCCCCCGAACGTTCCAGGAGACTTTAAAGAAAAAAAAAAAGGTTGGGAGGAAAAGATGGTGGCAGCTCAGTTTATTGTGAAACGCTCACAAATGTGGACCCTGACCCTCGGGCGTATGGCTTACGCTGTAGCTCACATTCCCCCACATGCGAGAGTCTGAGGCTTGCGCCACAACTAGCATCACTGGGGAACCGGGAACGTCCTCCCCGCGGCCGCAAGCTCCGCGCCGGCCCTGTCCCATCCTCACCGGCCGCCCCACGGCTGAAGCCCTAGTGCTGGCTGCAGGCCGAGGCCCCGCCACCCACTCCGGGGAGTCGGGAAGGAGCTGGGCCGCGGGCCCGGCACCGCGGGGCCACCCAGGCTGCGCGCAGGCGCTCAGGGTTGCGTCACCTCCTCTTCACAAACTTCTTTCTGGAGGCGTTGGGATTTAAGCGTCTCCGCCCGGCTCCCAAGGCGCTGTCGCGGACCTGCAGGGTGGCCGCGCGACTGGAGACGTCGTTCTCTGCGAAGGGCGACACGCCGGCGGTGTAGTCGGGGGCAAACACGTTGGTCTTCTGCTGGGCCTTTCGGGACAGCCGCAGCTGCGGGAAGCGCTGGTCCTCCGTCAGGTGCGGGTTGACGGCGTACTTGCCCCCTCTCGGCATGGGGAGCGAGTACTGCGGGGAGACGGCGGTGTTGCGTGACCTGCTGCGCCGCCCAGCACCCCTCACCCGGATCTCAGCCCGATGCACCGAGGGAAAGGAAACCCACACCCCTCCGCCGGAGACAGAATGTAAACATGGCAGCAAAACTCGCCCTCCAGGCGCTGTGCCAGTTCTTTTCTAGTTTTTGTTTTGTGGGTTTTTTCCCAGTACCGGAAATTGCACTCACGACCTTACGCTTGCCAGGCAGGCGCTGTGCTGCTGAGCTAAATCCCCAGCCCCATGTGCCAGCAGTTGTGACGGGCCGGGGGCGTGGTGACATGTTCTGAGTGTAGGACAGGGAGGCCCAGGGGGAGCCTGGAGAGTGGGCTGGGCCCGAAGTGGTGGGAGATAATGCAATTATTTATCTCAAACACGTACTGATTAAAAACATGGAAGGAAGGAACGCCAGGGCTGGTGATGCATGCCTGTAATCCCAGCACTTGGGAGGCTGAGGCAGGAGGATCACAAGTTCAAACCCACTCTGGGCAATTTAGCAAGCCCTTGTCTTAGAACTTTAAGAGAAACTTTTTAAACTTTATTTATTCATGTGTATATTTTTAAGAGTCTTGTGATGCAGTGCAGCCAGGCCTTGAGCTCACTATGTAGCCCAGGCTGGCCTCAAACGCATAGCAATCCTCGTGCCTCAGCCTCCGGAATGCTAGGATTATAGGTTGTGCCCTACCTGTCAAAAAATAATTCTTAAAAGGGTTAGGTGTGTAGCTCAGTGCAAAGCGCTTGGTTCAATCTCCAGCACCACTGAAACAAAGACTTGCTCTCAGGCCCAGCTTCTGGGTCTGCCTCTATGTGGGTTCCCCAGCCCTCACTGGACATGCCTGCGGAGTCCTCGAGAGGCACACAGGAGCTTGGCACGCGTTTCGTGGCCCTCAGGCTCCCGAGCCTGTACCCAGCAGCCGCCACCGCACAGCTCTTCCGCCGTCCCTCGTCCCTTAGAGCCTGGCGGCGGCGGCGGGGGACTCACCCGGAGGCCTCGCGGGTTCAGCACCTTGGGGTTGCGGGAGAAGTGCATGTGCAGGCTGCCGTCCTCGCTCACGGTCACGGACACTTTCTTCAGGGTCCTGTTGCCACAGTGCGCGCAGAACACGCGGCTCACGTCGGACGTGGTCCTGGGGACAGAGGAGAGGCACGTGCTGGCGCCTGGGCAGAGCGCGAGGAGTCACAGCCCGGAGCTGGCGACAAGGAGCTGACGCGCACCACACCCGTGTTTGTTCGTTTGCCGTAACTAAGGACAACTCAGAGAAGGCTGGTGCTTTTTGTTTATCCTGATGGGGTCTAAGTTGCCCAGGCCGGCCTCAAACTTGCAGTCGTCCTGCCTCAGCCTCCAAGGAGCCACGTGTGCAAATTACACAAAGGGCGCCTGAGCCCACGCTCAGTGAGGATGTAGACAAGTGCTGCTCCCTTCCTTGAGGGGAAGAGACACAGGGAAGGAGCAAACTAAGCCTGTGAAAAACGAGCAGGTGTGCAGATACGTTACCGCACAACCAACTTTCACTGGACACTGCCAGCCATTGTTCACCAGGGCTACCTGGAGACCTCCCAGGCACGGGAGTGCTGGCACCGCGTCCCGGAAGCCGGCGGGGGCACAGACCCAGGGAGCCTGGCGCGGGTGACAGCGGGGACGGCGCCCTCCTTTCTGCTGCAGCTCGGGCCCAGCCCAGGGGGTGGCAGGGGCTTATTCAGGACTGCGGCTCACACGGCACATGTGGCACGACTGCTGAGCAGGAAGAAGCTGCCGCTGCCACTGCCAAGGGCGGTGCGGTCCCTGTCCTTCGGGGACTCGCCACCCGTTCCCAAGGTCAGGGACAAGCTGGGGGCGCTGAACCCTCCACCTGGCAGGCGCCTGCGAAGGGCCTAAGCCCTTCCTCTCGGACGCCTGCACCACGGACGCCACCAGATCCAGCCGTGGATGTTGGGGGCTGGAAGCCGCCCCAGGCTAAGGCCTGGGCCACCGGCATACGCCAGCCCGGGCCGCACGGAACGCCTTCCGCCTAGGGAGTGCCCAGCGGGCCTGGGACGGAGGAAACAGTGCACTGATCCTTGTATGACGAATCTTTCTTGTTCTTCACAGTGACATCTGCCATTTTATTTACGACTGAAAGCTGGCCACGTGGTACACACTTATAATCCCACCACTCAGGGGGCTGAGGCAGGAGGATCGTGAGTTTGAGGCCAGCCTGGACTACACAGTGAGACCCTGTCTCAAAAGACAAAAAGAAATGAATCTGAAGCCCAGAGAAGGTGATCAATCTTAGTGAGATCACACAGGTGGCAGGAAGAAGGCTCAGAGGTCAGCGTGTGCACTCTGGGTATGGGCGAGAGTCCGGCAGCGCATGTCTGCCGCCCCAGCGCTCTGAGAGGCCGAGGCAGGAAGAACCAAAGCACAACCCCTGCTTGGGCAACTTGGCAAGAGTCTATGTCAAAATAAGAAAGGGCTGGGCTGAATCCCCAGCACTGCAAAAACAACACCAACAACCCAGGTGATCCCCAGGTGTCACACCTCGTCACTCCCCCAGCTGGTCTCCTCCCCTCCACACCCCGCCCTGCCCATCCCCTCCGCAGCGGGCTTCTCTTTCTGGGAGCACGAGGGGCGGAACCCAGGACCTGCACAGGCCACAGCTGCACCGCGGGCCGCAACCCAGCCCTCGTTCCGGAAGTTCTTAGCCAGGCAGGCTCAGGCTTGGGGGCTGCTCCGCACCTGAAGCAGCCGTGGCAGCGCAGGACGTAGCTCCGGGCCTCTCGGATCCGCATGCCGTTCAGCGCCAGCGCGTGCAGCCCCATCTGCAGCAGGACATTCTGCAAACAACGAGGCCCGCGCGGGCTGAGCCGGGTCACCCCACAACACAGCTCTGCCACCAGCCACGGGACACCATGCACCAGGGCTTGAGAGGAAGCATCAGCTGATCATGGGTATCAAGGATTGAAAACTGAACATACTACACACATTTTGTCACTGTATCGTATGACTCTCCAGCCTAACAACTGTTAATAGTTAGAGAAATTAACCATTACCAAGCCGCACAGGTGAAGCTTCTATAGAAGCAGGAAAATCAGCGCACATCTCTGTACACACCCGGCACCCCAAAGCCCACAGGTCCGCTGTGGGTGACAGGCAGGACACGGAGCCCAGGGCTGGCCTGTGTCCCCCAAAGCCCCCTGCGGTCACAGCCGGAGCTTCTCCAAGGTGGCTGGGAGTGTGGGTGCTGGGACAAGGGCCTGTGGTTACTGCATTAGCCCGCTGACTGGCCTGGCAGAGTTCCGGGTAGGATTACGGGCGCCCCACCCTGGGTGTGACTGCCACAGCCTGGATAAGATACAAGGGACAGAAAGAGGGTCACTTCTCGCTTGCAGCTCTTGCTGCCTTTTGCCACGCCATGGACGGTTTCTCCCGTGACACCCCTCTGCCACGCCACCCTGCCTTGGAGCCAGCTAAAACCTCTACTGTGAGTGGAAGTCACCCTTTCCTCCTTTAACTTTCAACACCGGGCATTTCTTCTCCGCCACAAGAAAGGCAACGAAGACGCCGCCTCACCCACCTGCATGGCGAAGTCCGTGGTCACACAGCCGACCTGCACGTCCGCCGGGCTATCGCACTTCTCCAGCTCCTGCTGGACCTGCTTGATGTTGCTGGGGGTTATCCAGCCGCCTCCGTCATCACCGCTGTCTTCGCCTTGACTGTCTTCAGAACCGCCGCCTTCCTCCTCCTCCTCCGCCTCTTCCTCCCCACCTCCGTCAATCTGAAACAGCAACAGGACTCACCCGCCGACCCACAGCGGCGAGAAGCCACTGCGCGGGCACCGAGGGGGCTGCAGGCCGGGCCTCACCAGCAGCTGCTGCAGCTCACGGTCGATATTGGGCAGAGGCTTCCTCCAGAACAGGAAGGAGCTGAATTCCGGGTGCTCGGGCTCGCTGGAGGGAGGCCCACGGTCTACTGTTTCTTGTGGGGGTTTAGGCTGACATGAAAAGAGATCATTACTCACAGGGCTCCTCCTGCTGTGGCCTCCGAAGAGCTGGGATTACAGGCGTGCACCTGGCTTTTCTTTTTTTAATGAACAGTAATTTTTTTTGTCTTTTTTGAGACAGGGTCTCACCCTGCAATTCAGGCTGGCCTTGAGCTCACTTTATAGCCCAGGCTGGCCTCGAACTCGCAGAGATCCTCCTGCCTCAGCCTCCTGAGGGCTGGGATTACAGGCATGGGCCACCACCCCCAGCTTAAGAAACTGTAATTTAAACACGTGGAAACTGAGAGGGTTATAGGTGAAGTGACATGACACACACGTGGGTCAGACACACAACCCTAGCCGTGCAGTAAACACGGGTGGCTATGAGCAGACAGCTGTGGGGCAAGATGGTAGTGCAAGCGTCTGAGCAACCGGGCGCACAGAAGGCTCACCTTGCAGGGGAGATGGAAGCCAGCGACGTGCAGCGGGGTTTCTGGGTGCTGAGTCGAGGAGCTCACTCTAACCTTTAAGGGAAAAAAGGACCAGCTCTGAGCAAGGTCACTTAGCTTTCAACATGGAAGGGTATTGGAAAAACAAAAGCCTCAGTATTTCCCCCTGGTTGCTGAAATCAAAGATGTCCACCGTTTAAAAAACTTAGTGATACCAATACCATGAAATACACGTTTTTTGCCATTATACACACAACTGTAGGGCTGGGGACTGAACTCGAGCAGAATCACGCACATAGGCGAGGGCTCAATCACTGAGCTACACCCAAAGTCTTCCACCTTTTTTTGAGACAGGGTCTTGCTGTGTTGTCCAGGCTGACCTCAAACTTAGGATCCTCCTGCCTCAGCCTCTTAGTGCTGGGATTACAGGCATGTGCCACTATGCCTGCATATAATTACTCTGAAAATCAAGTTAAATATAGAACCTGATCAGAGTTTGTTTTTCTGTTGTCCCTTAGATTTTGAAGGCATTAAATCTAATTTCCTCTCCCTATAACATGGGCAGGAATTTGTAATTGCCTCCGCCCACAAAATGTAGAAGTAAAGCTGCTTCACTTTCAACTCTGGGTCATATAAAATGATAGGTTCTGACTGGCTGTGGTGGTGCTCACCTGTAATCTCAGTACTCAGGAGGCTGAGGCAGGAGGATGTAGAGAGTTCAGGGAGGGAGACTGTCTCAAAAAGGGGGAGGCATTAGAGAGTTGTAAGCAGAGGTCACTCAGAGTGACAGATTTCCTCTGTCCCTGTGCTTACGCCACTCCATACTGGGGGTCAAGTCCAGGACCACACCCTAACAAGCCATTTACTGTTTAAAAGGTACTCAACCAGATTTTGTGAGAACCAGAAAGTAAAAAAGACACTCTGCTGAGAACTAAGACATACAGAAGGCCCACCCTGTTTATAAAAAGTAATTATCAGGCCATGCATGGTAGCACATGCCTATAATCCCAGCACATGGACCGCTGAGGCAGGAGAATCACCAGGAGTCTGAGGCCAGCCTGAACCGCATAGTGAGACCCTGTCTAAAAAAAAAAAAAAAAAAAAAAAAAGTAACCATCCAATGGGGAAGGGCTGCATTTTAAAACCTGGGATGCATTTTGCCTAATGTCTTGGTTACTTTTCTCTCGTTGCTGGGACAAAATACCTAACGCCCCAAACTAAGGAAGGAAAGGTTTATTAGCTCACAGCTGGTGGAGGTTTCAGACCATACTCGGCTGGCTCCAAGGCAGAGGGCCACACTTCATGGTGGCGGAGAACACCAAAAGCGACAAGAGGGCCAGGGATATAGCTCAGCGGCACAGCGCCTGCCTGGCAAGTGCCAGGCCCTGAGCTCGATTCCCGGTACCAAAACCAAAACCAAAACCAAAAAACCCAAAAGCAGTAAGAGCGAAAAGGGAGGAGTGGCAGAGAGCAAGCCTCCCTCCCTCCCCTTTACTGTATGCACACTTCCCGCCCCAGGGCGGGTGCAGCTCTCGCACCCACCATCCCAGCCTTGGACCATGGATCAATCATAAACCCTAGAAGCCCGCCGTGCCCCGTGACCGCATGAGGCTTTGGCGGACACGCACAGACCGTTAACACCTAGGGAACAGTACTCGCTAGCCTGGGGGACACCAGCGCTCACAGTGCGTGCACTGGCATCTGTGCTGTGTCGCGGCCCGCAGCGCCTTCCTCAGGCCAGTACCGTGCGTAAGCGTGATTCTGCCACGCGGCAGGGAGAAAGCACCTGAGCCCCCGGAGAGCTTCCAAGAACCTGCCGGGGTCACCAGCGGTGCGGGCCTAAACACACTTGGGCTCCAACCCGGCCGTTCTCCCTGCGCTGCCTCTGCTGGGGCCTCTGCTGACGGATGCACTGTGTATGCGCGGTGGTCGCATCATCCCGGGAACAGAACCTGCACACGACAGACCTTGCTGCCGCTTTCCCCCCAATGCCCTCCTGCCCCAGTCCCTCTCCCCTCCTTATTTATAAAAGCTAAGGCCCGGACGGGTCACTGAACCATCAGTGCCTCGGACGGCTGGAGTCTACCCCGCCCACACCCGGAACTACATCCCAGAGACTCAGCCGGTCACCGCCGCTGACCGTCACACGGCGAAGGGCTCGAGCGGCAGCGCTCCACCTCCACGAACGGACCGCGAGTGCTGCCCAGCGCCGAGCACTGCCCCACAGTAACTTCCCAACGGTGGATTTCCGGATGCTGGGCGAGGAGCTCAGGGGCGGGCACCTGCCTAGCACGTGCGAGGCCTGGGTTTG